TGCAGCCATTGTGTGGACGGAGTCAACTCAAATACTGAGATTCTAGCATTTTGTGCCATCATTGATTATAAAAAAAAAATATGCTCCATAAGCCAATGTATTTATTCTGCAGGCAGTGTAGACATCAAGTGTCCCGAGCAGGACAAAACAATAAAGCAGGCAGGTTGTGCAGAGAAAAACCGGCTATAAAAAGTTGAAAAGAGGACAGAAACGAGCCGTATTGAACTCATCTGCCCTCACTTCAGCAGCGCTGCCTGGCACGCTCCCCCTCCCGCCCCAGCATCCTCCTGCAAGGGGAGGTGTCGGTTTGATCACTGCGCTCTCACGCAAATGGTCAATCTTTAACTCCTGCGGAGAACACGCAGGTAGGCAGCAGTCACGCAAAGACGTCTTTTTTTTTTTTTTTTTTTTTTTTTTTTTAACCACGTGCAGAGATCCCCAAAGTTTGGATGCATGAAACAACTCTTTCCTCTGTCATAACGTCCAACACCATCCGTGATTTATTTGATTTCACTTTATTTATTTATTTTAATCATTTCTGACGTGCGCAAAGAAAAGCTGCATGTTATCCACTCAGTGATCAGACTCGGGTGAATTAAAACCTCTGCGTCAGCAAATACTTGCCCAGATGGAGACAAAAGTGCGCAAAGAACAGAGATGGATAAAAAAAACCTGAATAGAAACGCATATCAGGCTTTGTAATAGGAGCATAAACTTTGCACAAAATGATGAACGAGACTGTTTCTGCGTGCAATCAGAACCTGCAGAGCAGCAGATGATATGAAGTTGAAGATTTATCAGATAAAAACTGATTTACAGCCGCTCTGCCTTTGATGGTTCTCTGAGGAGAACTCTGTAAAGCACCCAAGTTGTGTAATTTCAAGACTAATTATGATACCAGCTCAGCACACAAGCCTTTTTCTTTTTTTCAGTTTCAAACTTCATTCATTAGAGAGGTGGAGAGGAGAGAGAGGGTGATGACGTCACGCCATTAGGCAGCCAATCACATTGCTCAGTGCTCTATAAAAATAAGAGTCCACTCAGTTTTAAAGAGTTAGGAGAGGCAACCTGGAGAACAACTTTACAAAACAATCTTTTCTTTTTTCTTTAACATTTTGGAAAAGCGTCTCCCAGCTCTTCATCATTTAACCAAGGTAAGTTAAATATAAATATTTATTTTCCCAGATTAGGGCTAAAATGCTTGTTTAAATTAAAACCTCAATATAAATGCATTAATTGCACATGCCTTTTGGAATAATTTGCACACCAGTAAGAGTGGGGAGTTTTAAGCGCACAGTACATCAGCCATTGTATATTATCTAACTGTGTGCAAAGATCAAACTGCAGAGCGGAGCACATGGCTCTGTTCTCACTTACTTCAAACTTAACTGAGCGTACAATTTGTTGCACAACACCTTTTCTTCTCCCTGCCAACAATGATCTAATCCTCATCTTATTTAATTTACAGGTTCAGTGGAACACAAGAAAAAAATTGTCGTCATCATGGCGTTAATGATACTGCCATTCTTTGGAGCACTGTCTGTATTTGAGGGTCTGATAGCCTTGACGACGGTGTGCTTGGTTTACCTGACACTCAAGCAGTACCGCACAAAGATTCCTGAGGGACTTTGCCAACTCCCTGGTCCAAAAGCTCTTCCTGTCATTGGAAATTTGTTGGAGGTGGGCAAAACGCCCTACCTGAGTCTCACTGAAATGAGCAAGCGTTATGGAGATGTCTTCCAGGTTCAGCTTGGCTCACGTCCTGTTGTCATTCTGAGTGGTTTAGAAACTGTCAGACAGGCTCTTGTCAAGCAAGGAGATGACTTTTCCGGCAGACCTGACTTGTACAGCTTCAGCTTCATCAATGACGGCAAGAGTCTGGCCTTCAGCACAGACAAAGCTGGTATTTGGCGGACTCGCAGAAAGCTGGCCTACAGTGCCCTGCGTTCTTTCTCCACCCTGGAGTGCAAGACCTCAGAGTACTCCTGTGTGCTGGAAGAACACGTCAGCAAAGAGTGCAAGTATTTGATCAAAGAACTTGACACTGTCATGAAGACCGAAGGCAAATTCGACCCTTTCCGTTACATCGTTGTCTCTGTTGCCAACGTGATCTGTGGCATGTGCTTTGGCCGGCGCTATGACCACCACGACCAGGAGCTGCTGAGCTTGATAAACCTCTCTGAGGATTTTGCCCAAGTGACAGGCAATGGAAACCCCGCCGACTTCATCCCTGCCCTGCAGTACCTGCCCAGCAAAAGTATGACAAAGTTTGTCGATCTCAACAATCGCTTCTGCAGCTTTGTCAAAAGGATTGTCAATGAGCACTACATCACTTTTGACAAGGTACTCCACACACGCCCTGCCTTATGCCTTAATCAGCCCAATCTACTTGAATGGTACTATCTTTTATTTTTAGTCACTAATGATTTACTAACGATTTACTTCAGGACAACATCCGTGACATTACAGACTCCCTGATTGATCACTGCGAAGACAGGAAGTTGGACGAGAACTCCAACGTCCAGATATCAGATGAGAAGATTGTTGGAATTGTCAATGACCTCTTTGGGGCTGGTACGTTTGGTACATGCTGTGATGAAGCTGATAAAACTGTATGTTGTCATTAGTCTATAAAAATCCACCAGCTTCATCCTTCTGTTTTTCTTCAAGGTTTTGACACCATCTCAACTGGTCTGTCCTGGGCTGTGATGTACTTGGTAGCTTATCCAGAGATAGAGCAGAGGCTTTTTGAAGAAATGAGTGAGTTCAGCTTTTTCTGTGCAAATTTAACCTTGGATTACTTTCATGGCCATGTAACATAAATACATACTCTGCTCACACATTTGACCGTGGCTCTCTAATCATAATTTGATCGTCTTTTTTTGTTTTCAGAGGAGAAAATAGGTCTGGATCGTGCTCCCACTCTCTCTGATAGAAACAACTTACCCTTGTTGGAGGCCTTCATCCTTGAGCTCTTTCGCCATTCTTCATACTTGCCCTTCACAATCCCACATTGGTAAGACTTTGTCTTTTTAAACACAGTGGAATAGCATGTTTGCTTGGAAAAATATACTGTCATGGACATATAAAGTGTCTCAGAGGGAAAAACAAAGATGGACAAGCAGGTTGCCATCAACATAATAATGTGTTCTTTCTGTTTTTAGTGCTACAAAAGACACATCCCTGAATGGTTACTTCATTCCCAAAGACACATGTGTCTTCATCAACCAGTGGCAGATTAATCATGACCCGTAAGTTTTATCTTAGCAATATTGATATTGAGACTAATTACAGGTTAGAAAGTGCTGATTCAATTTAAATACCTAATTCATTATGTTTTAAAGCTTGTTTTAATTTTTTCTTATTCATTCCATCTCCCAGTGAAGTGTGGAAGGACCCGTCTTCCTTCATCCCAGACCGTTTCCTCAGTGATGACGGTACTGAGGTGAACAAACTCGATGGAGAGAAGGTCATTACTTTTGGCTTGGGAAAGCGGCGCTGCATCGGTGAGGTTATTGCACGAAACGAAGTCTTCCTCTTCTTGGCTTTCATCATCCAAAAGCTGCACTTCTACCAGCTGCCTGGAGAGCCACTGGATCTGACCCCAGAGTACGGACTCACGATGAAGCACAAACGATGCTACCTGGGAGTCAAATTAAGAGTTGAGAATGAGAAGTGAAGCTGTTTACAATTCTGAAAGACTCTGAAGGTGGTTTATGCTGACTCTGAGCTTATAGCAGTCAGCGAAAGAAGCATCTTTCTAAGAACGTGAGGCACTAGAGGATTTATCTGTAGAGCTAATGGCATTGAGGCAGACGAATGAAGCTTGCTTGAAGCAAATTGTAAGAAATGTTTTGTTTTTGACATATTTAGTATGCAAAACAAAGTTTCTGCTTCTCTGGGAAGTTTAAGGAGATGCTTTGTTTCTTCTGATGTGTGGTTCTCTGATATACAGTAAGAAGGTTCCATTCAGAAATGAGAAAACGTGCTATCGGAGCTGTTCAACTTTTGGAACGAGTATGTTTTAATCAGTATGCATTGATATGAAGGACACCTCAAGTAAATAGACGTCACACTTGTAAGCTAATTGTGTTCATTTCATTATACTGTATAGGTGTCAACACTGAAGCTATATTTGTATCCCAAAATGTGATTATGTTTGTATATTAACATCTCTATATATTTGATAGGTCATTTTTATGATCCAAGCATCTGTAAATGTTTGAGGTGAAATACTTTTTAATAATTCTGGAAAACAAACAAGTTGTACAATATTATGCCTTTTAATATATCAATTATTTTTTATGCTGTGCACTCTTTTGAGTATCCTAATATCAATGTCCTAAATAATAAAAATAAATAAATACATGCTGGACTGAACATCCTGCTGTTTGCTTGATTTGGAACGACCTCACAAACATGCATCTGAATGTCAAGTAAAAATGTTGTATAATGATAAGATAGAATCCATCCATCCATTATCTTTTACCTGCTTCTTCCATTTTGGGTCATGGGGGTCACCGGTGCCCGTGTCCAGCAATCACTGTTCGAGGGGCGGGGTACATCCTGGACAGGCCTCCAGTCCATCTCAGGGACACATAGAGACAAACAAGACAAACAACCATTCACTCTCTCAGTCACACCTAGAGACAATTTAGAGTTACCAATCAGCCTAACATGCATGTTTTTGGTCTGTGGGAGGAAACCGGAGTACCCAGAGAAAACTCACACATGCACAGAGAGAACATGCAAACTCCACCCAGAAAGGCCCCCGGACCAGGTTTTGAACCAGGACCTGCTCGATGAGAGGCAGCAGCTCTACCAGGTGCACCACCGTGCTGCGCCTAGATAGAATCTTCACAGAAATTATTTATAATCATCTTACAATATTTAGAGCTCACCATGGCACTGAAACTGTACTGGTGAATGTTACTAATGCTATTCTCATGACCTCTGACAATGGACATGTGTCTACACTGGTTTTGTTTGACCTCAGTGATGCATTTGATAGAGTTGATCATAATATTTTACTACAGAGACTTGAATATGATATTGGGATTACAGGAACGGCTCTAAATTGGTTGAAATCATAAAGTCCAATATTTAAATGTAAATAATGAATCTTCTTCATACACCAAAGTCATGGAGTTCCTCAAGGTTCAGTGCTTGGACAAATACTATTTACCTTATATATGCTTCCATTAGATAAAGTTGTTCAACAGCTGGGATAAATTTTCATTGTTATGTTGATGATACACAGTTATACTGTATTTGCCCATTAAACCCAATAAAATCAATCAGCTACTTAGGCTACAAGCATGTCTTAAAGACATTAAAACCTGGATGACCCTAAATTATCTGCTTTCGAACACAGACAAGACTGAGGTTTTAGTTTTTGGACCTGAACATAAATTTTTCAGTCTTTCGCCCTCCTTGGATGGCAATAATCTGGCCTCCAGCTCTAATATAATAATAATAATAATAATAATAATAATAATAATAATAATAATAATAATAATAATAATAATAATAATAATAATGAATTTAATTTGTAACACACTTTTCATTAACAAAAATCTCAAAGTGCTAGTGATATTAAAAATCTTGGTGTTATTTTTGATCAGGACATGTCTTTTATCCCCCACATTAAAAACATTACTAGAACCACTTTCTTCCACCTGCGTAAATCACTAAAATTAGAAACATCTCATCTAAAAATGATGCAGAAAAACTGGTTCGTGCCTTTGTCACGTCTAGACTGGACTATTGCAATGGTTTATTATCTGGACGTCCAAATACTTCTTTAAAAAGTCTTCAGTTAATCCAAAATAATGCTGCCAGAGTCTCAACTGGAGTTAATAAGAGAGATCATATCTCTCCAGTTTTAGTTTCTCTCCATTGGCTCCTTGTCAAGTCCAGAATTGAATTCAAAATCTTACTTCTAACTTACAAAGCTCTCAACAACCTAGCTCCATCTTATATTCCAGATCTTATTGTCCCATATTTTCCTAACAGAGCACTTCGCTCTCAGACTTCAGGCTTACTCGTAGTTCCTAAAGTTTCCAAAAGCAGAATGGGAGGAAGATCTTTCAGTTATCAGGCTCCTCTCTTGTGGAACCAACTTCCGGTTTCTGTCAATGAGGCTGACACATTGTCCAGTTTTAAGACTGGACTTAAGACTTTCCTTTTGATAAAGCTTATAATTAGGGTTGGCTTGTTATGCTGCCATAGACTTAGACTACTGGAGGACAAATTGACCTTATTTTCTTAAATGAATTGTTAAAATTGAATAGTTTTCATTTGATACTATTTTATCTTAACATGTGATTCTTGACCTGCCATTGTGTATCTGTTCCTCCTTCCTGTTCCTGTCAAACCCAGCTGCTCGAAGCAGATGGCCGCTTGTCCTGAGCCTGAGTCTGCTAAAGGTTTCTACATCATGAAGGAGTTTTTCCTTTCCACTGTCACCTTCATACTTGCTCAAGATGAGAGTTATGTGATGGAGTTAAATTCAAAGCAGTCAGCTCCTCATATAAATAGTGTTAAATTATTATTTTTATACATGAATGTTTCTGTTCAGTGCCCTGAGATTACTTCTGTTGTGACTTGGCACTATATAGATAAACCGAACTGAATTGAATTGAACATTTAAATGACACCACTTTTCCCATTTGTGTGTATCCAACTTTCAGCTTAGTTGTACTTTGTACTTTTTTTTTTCTCTAGAATGAACATTCTGAATATCTGAAACAGAATTGGAGAAACTGATATCACACATCCAGTATAGTCATAATTTTTATTTTAGATTTCCAAAATGAATCATTGTTCCAGATATTTCTAAAGTAATTTGAGTAAATATGAATAAAAGTAACTAGTAAAAATATAGTAAAATTAGGAATATCAAGTATTCATAGTACCATTACGGTACTTAAAAATTAAGTTTAATAATTAGTAACTGAAAAATCCATCCATCCATCCGTCCATCCGTCCGTCCATCCATCCATCCATCCATCCATCTCCTTACCTAATCCAGTTCTCCAGCAATAAGTGAGTTAGAAGAGGGGTATATGTTGGACAAGTCCATTACAAGGTCCTGGGAAATAATTACAAAAATGTTTTGAATATTAATTTAAAAAATGATTAGGAATCATGTTAGCCCAAAGCAAGTTAAATAAAAATTAGGACTACAGTATTTGTCTGCAGGCATCTGAAGTATTTCAGATATTCACAAAACTAATTCTAGTCAGGAAGAATGTATTTTTAGAAATTTGTACTTGAAAATTTAATACACATGTATGAGGAAAAAAATACAATATTTGTTCTATAGGAAGAAGAAGGTTTGAGATATCCGACATGTTATTGTTGCTACAAAGACAGGTTTTCTGGATATCTGAAAGATTTTTTTGGGGGAAGAAAGAACCATGATATGAATATCTGGTTAGATATACTGTAATCTAACTACTAAAGTTTAAAAAATTCTACAAGATATTTAAAAAAACTTTTCACCTTGTGAATATTTTTGAACTTAGGTTTTATTAATACAGTATTGTTTGTAAAGACCCTGATAAGTCATTTTACAAATAGATATCTTGCTTGATACATTTGCTACGTTACTTTAGATGTGCTAACTTTTTAATTAGAAGGAATGTTAATATTGATATTTCAAAATGTATTAAAATGGAGAAAGGAGTGTAAACTACCTACAAATTTAAATTATGTCCAGAAATCTAACACTAATCTCTCACTTGTGCTTTAACTTCAGAAAGAAACAGGCCTAAATAATAATAATAATAATAATAACAATAATATTAATAATGATGATAAAAAAAACAAAAACACAACAAACCCACGTGGAAGAGATCGGAAATGACGTCACGCGCTAAAGCCGAACAACAACAACAGCGACTGCATCTTTGGTCCTGATGAACTTTAGGATCTCCTGACTGATTCTGTACGAGGTAACGAGTTGAAAGAGAAAAGTTGGCTATTTTTAACTCCTTTAATTCTTGTTAGGCTTCTCTTCGTCTGGATGAAAATAAATTACAGCGTCGAAGCTAATGTTAGCCGATAAGCTAGCTGACGCAGCCTCCCAGATGTTCATCGCGGTGACTCGATCTTTTAGCATATTTACTGTAATTATGTTCAGCGTGTGTCGTGTTTGTCTCCGGCTGATTCAATGTCATTCATACAAACCGCAGCATACTTACATTTCCAATAAATCTCGGTGAAACATAACCCTTTCCCTCAGAACCATAAAAAGCCTCCTGGGTTTGTTTTTATAAATTCACATCTAACTCGCAACACCTTCAGTCAAGCTCTAAATGGCGCAACAAAGCCTGTTCTTTCATAAAAATCTGCACAGGACTGAAGGTTTTCTGTCAGTGTCACAGTTTTACCAGCTAATTAAACATGTGTTTTAACTGCTGAATACAGCACCTTTAAGGCTAGTAAAGTACCCAATGTAACATTTCATGTATTTGTTTTTCATCCACAGGTTCACGATGAGCATGATGGCAGCAGACTGGTTGGGCAGTGTTGTGACCATAAATTGCGGTCTAACGTTGGGAGTTTATCAGGGAGAGGTGTCATCTGTTGATGGAGCCAGTCAAACCATCTCACTGAGACAGCCCTATCACAACGGAGTCAGGTGTCCGGTTCCCGAGGTCACATTCAGGTAAAGGAGGCTTCCACTGCGCCGTCATCTGACACATCCACATCCACGGGGCTTCTTTTATTTTAGTGACTATTAAAAAATGTTTTATGCTCAAAATAGAAAATATAAGCTTAATAAAAACGTGTCAGTTTTAGTGAGTAAATCTACATTAACAACTCTATCACATCCACTATAATAGAATAATTTGTTTCAGATTTGATTCCACCCAGTAGAAGTTTGTCAGAGTGATAGAAAAGATACATCCTAAACTCATTTGTGCAAAGGAAGGCTGGATTCAAAACTCAAACTTTTATGCAGAGTTCGCTGATAATTCTTGAAGTCGTTCGTGCCAATTTTTCTGTGATTAGTGAGAGGTGGCACAAATTTGTCCCCATAGGAGGTGTTTCAGGATCAGACGTTTGTGCTTTGTTTTTGACTAACAACTCAGGTCTTTAATCAAAAACCTAGAATGTATTCTAGAAATTACAGCAACTTTTTTGGTGCCCTTGGCAGGATCATTTCTTATTACTTAATGTTTTATGACCAACTATGAAATGCCACATAATGCCTAATGACAAAACTTAAGTTGACGTAAAAGTGGGCTTTTTAACAAAACAACAACTCTCAGCACTCTTGCAAATGAAAGAATGGTGCAAAAACGTACAATGTGAGGTTATGCTAATGTTGAATGATGAATTATGAAGAGTGCGCCAGAAACTCAGGAATCCAAAGCGAAAGGCACGGTTGACAATCTTGTCAAATTTCTTTAAGAGAAATTTGTCTTTCATCTGAGGCCAAGAGTGTATTTATTTCACAAAAATCATCATTCATTTATTTCTCTTCATCTCAATGTTTTTTAATATTTGATTTAAAGAGCACTTTTACTTTTTGGTTTTGTTTGACTTGAGCACTTCCTGTGCCAAAAGTGAATTTCTGTGACATTTAGTTTCTTCTTTACAATAATCTTTCTGTTCTAATAATCATTGTTTTTTTTTCAATAATTTGTAAATAAACTATCACAGAAATGTTTCCACAGACATTTCAGTTTGTGATTATAATAATGTCAGGTATGTATATATTTTCTTCCAGTGCCATGGATATCAAGGAATTAAAGTTCCTAGATATTCAGAACACAGCCACCAAACCCAGATCTGGGCAGGGGATCACAACAAAACCCAGCTTGGTATCAGCAGGACGTAATGGTCAGAGTAACAGAACAACTCACAGCCACGCAACAACCAACATGTTTCATTCCAGCACAGCTCCAATCTCCATCCCACTCAGAGGTGAGCAAATACCTGAACTCTATAATCTCCACACTGTTCATGTTCTGTGGTAGAAAACATTGTGAGCAAATAAAAAAAAATATATGGCGGTGTTATGAAGCTCCAAAATGACTGTTAGAAAATAAGGTTGTAAAATGTCACATCATCATTTCACATAAGTTGGAAAGACAGAAGTAATATATTGTCTTGCCAGGTTAGCAAGAAAATATCTGAATTTGTGTGCCTTCATTTTTAATATACATTACTAAAGGTAGTCTCTCACTGAGTTGCGACTGAAAGCTGTCAGACTGTCCAACAATGTTTAGTCAGGTCATCTAGACGGTTTCTTTTTTGTGCTGAGAAGTTTCGCCCTCCATCTGAAGGGCTTCATCAGTCTGAGGAAACAAAACAAAATGATTCTCCACCAACAGCCTACTCCAAAGTGGGAAGAAACAGCTATGTTGGTGCTAAGATGGCCTCTGGTGCCCGCTCTCTCCTCCGGTGCCCGCTGTCTCCTCCGGTGCTCGCTCTCTCCCTCGTCGACAGATGACCTGACTTGTCCTCGTCTAGATGACCTGACTGAACATTCTTGGATTTTATACCTGGATTATTGAGCATGGACTTTGCTGTCAAACTGTGCTTGTCTGTTTTACTTTCCTGTTTTACTGTCCTCTCTAACCCCAGCCAGTTGAGACAGAGGGCTGCTTGTCTTGAGCCTGGTTCTGCTGGAGGTTTCTTCCTGTTAAAAAAGAAGTTTTTACTTTTCACTGTCGCCAATGTACTGCTCAAGATGGGGGATTGCGATAAAGTGGATATTCCATTCAATCTGCTGGCTTCCTTAGATAAATAACTTTACTATCAGTTTATAATGTATGTGAATGTTTTTGTACAGTACCTTGAGACAACATTTGTTGTGAATTGGCAGCTTTCTTCTGCTAATTTTGTGCCCTCAGTATTCAGGCCATATCCAGGATTGGCCATGCTTTGATCAGTACAGTTGTCCCTTGATACTTCGCGGTTCGACTTTCACGGACTCACTCTTTTGCAGGTTTTCAATGTAAGATTGTACTTGACACACGGTTGGCTGATTGATGGAAGGCGACCAACCAGAGCATTGTGCTGAGGGGCGGAATGGCCATTGGGAGCACTGGGACATTTCCCGGTGGCCTGGCCCGCTCAGTGATTGCCAAGGGACCCCCTCCTTTCTCTTTCTGAGGCTGTCTGTCACAGCAGAGCAGAGACACACAACAGGCGGGTGCACAACCTGCTGTGTGTCTCTGCTCTGCTGTGACAGACACCTTCGGAAAGAGAAAGGAGGGGACGGGGGTTGGGTCTGTCTTTCCCCATCGCTACTGTGGGAGTTTCAGTGATGCGGATACCAGAGTGAGCGGCATGGATTGTTTATTTAAAATAATCAAGCGCGACCTGAACCGAGCCTTTAGTCCCCTTCAATGATCACTAAGTGGGCCAGGCCACTAGGAAATGACCTGGTGCCCCAATGGCCAGTCTGCCCCCGGGATTGGCTCAGTAACCGTAGCATCAGTCTGTCTGCTCGCCTTCGCTGTGCTCTTTTAGAGCGTTTAGAGAGTTTAGAACAATATTAAGAGCATTGCAAGAGTATGGGAAGGGTTTATAAAGCCTTAAAATAAATATAAATACTAAAATAAATGTAACGTCCCTACTTAGTGGATTTTCACCTATCACGAGGGCATCCGGAACGTAACCCCCACGATAAATGAGGGACTATAGTTGAATATAGTTAAAATAATTTGAGTTAAAAAAAAAAGCTTTATCACAGCTAAAGCTGTGTTAGGGTGTTTATTTGGTTTGCCTTTAACTGCTGTTGTAGTCTAAACAACAGAATGACAAAGTAACAGGAATGCAGTCCAACAAATTTGCCTCAGTCTAAGGGTGCATTCACACCAGCCCTGTTTAGTCTGCTTTAATCGAACTCTAGCTCGTTTGCCTAGAAAGTCTGGTTAATTTGGGGAGGTGTGAATGCGCAATCGAACTCTGATACGGACCAAAAAAGTGAACTGTGGTCCACCTAGGTCTCGGTCCGGTTGAAGTGAACTCTGGTGCGGTTCGAATGCAGTGTGATTGCAAGTGGACCGGAGACTGCTCCAAAAGCAGGAAGTGGACTACAATTCAGGGCAAACAAACGCACATTTCTCTTACCTCATATGGAGCCGTCAGCCGCCTTGTGTGAAAAACAACATTCTCCATGGTCTTCTGCCTCATCTTCTGCTCATGCTGAGTCCATTGTTGAAAAATGACTTAACAGAAATCCCAAAACTGCTCAAATTTGACACCACCCTGTTTTTGTTTTTATTTCCAGAAGAAAAAGAAGTGTCTTCTTCAGAGGTTTTTGTGTTGTTTCCTTCAGTAGTTTTTGGTGCAGCACCACCACAGGCGAGTGGGGGAACAGGTTGACTCGATTGACTCAGTGCAGTGTGAATACAAACTGCACCAGCTGAAATGTAAACACATTTTATGAATATCGGTCCCCAATCAAACTGAGTCTACCGGACTATCAGGCGTGAAAACAACTAAACACTGTATCTTCATGAAAGTTTTGTTTATGTTCATATGATACAGTATATTGAGCGGTGCAGTGACAGTATTGGTACTGGTGCTCTGTAGTAGTATTTGATTTAATCGTTTGTAATATTGCCATCCACTTGTTTCCTCTAGTTCTAACAGTTATCAGAGGTTGGTAGGTTTGTAATTGATGTTCCTCTTTAGAGACTGTAAATATTCTTTTGAGATGGCGGTTGTTTGACGCACAATTGATGGTGTTCTTGAGACAGTGTTAAAATATACTGTTTTAATTATATGCTGTCTATAAAATAAATGTACAGTTTTGCATTAGAAATGTCGTTACATTCCTAAATTTTTCTTTTTATTGTTGTATATATTTTTTGAATCATCCACCTAAGCATCTGTTTTCTCCCAGCCTGCACACGAGGCTGATCAGAAACTGTAACTCAGCCTCCCTGATTAGATCAGTTTAAAACAGCATTTCCTGCCGAGATCATCCAGTCAGCAGGATGTGTGCTTGGACAGCTCTGTGGCCTGTGCAGGAATGTGTTCAAGTTGGTTCACTTTCACATTCAGGATAATCAAACAATGGAGGAGTCAGAGGTCACAAACCTGGCCAACACACACTGCAGTGTTCTGCAGCATTGTTGCACAAATGAGCCTTTGTGCATTGAAATTAAAACTTAAACAATATAAAAGTAATTGTTCTTTCCTGTTTTATTCAATGACTACGTCCAAACGGCTACCAAATTTTCTGTAATCCGCCGTGTGTGTGAGATCATTGTAGTATATTAAGAAACTTGAGCTGGTGAACTGAACAATGACACACCCACCAACCCCCCCCCCCCCCCCCCACAAGATTCCCATAGCGTGCTAAAGGCTTGCACCACAGTTCCTCTTTACAATATGTGTGTGACTAAAATCAATAAACATTCCCCCCTCCCTCTGCGTGTCTGCTCCTAAAGCCTGGCTTTCGTGCCTCCGTGCCCTCCTGTCCTTTCTCTCCCTGCCCTCGTTTGCTACTGGCCCGCACAGGAAACCAACCCCCTCCCCTACAGGAAGCCATGTTGTCCCAGTGTGCTCGGAAGGCCAAAGCGATATCAATTGTGGAGGCAATGTTTACATTTTGACTTTTTATTTTCATCTCTAGTGCTCAGGCTTGCGGCCAGGGAGCTAATGCCCAAATTGCATGGGGCCAAAGTGCTGAGTGGCTTGGGCAGGGCAGACGCTTTCACACGCAATGCCGTACTTCTAAGAAGCTCCCGGCCCTAAAGTAGGGAACGCAGCATGGGCTGTTGCTTATTCAAGTTCACATTCCAGGAATCATTTATGGATTTCAGCCGCTGATTTTTGTTAGCGATCAGAATGTAAGTTTAGAAATTCACGTCTATTTTGAACGATGCATTGACCCAAAACGCTACATTTATTATTAATCGTTTACAAATTTACAAAATTAAGTGTCCTTGGGTGTCATGAAAGGCGCTTTTTAAATAAAATGATTATTATTATTATTATTTTATAAATCAAGACTGCAGTCAAGAGCATCTAAATTCTTGTTTTCTATTTAACTCTTGCATTCAAACCACAAATCAGTTTCAAAGGTGTAGCTATAACAAACATCTAAAACTTTCTTCACACCCAACCATCATCCCCAACAGTTCTTTATCCAGTTTTGATTCAAATAGTTTCTTTTTATAAAAGTTGTCAATTTGCATTACACATTGAATTGTATTATTCGCCCCCGAGATCTACAAATGGTAAATGCTCGTTATGGTCAGATTTTTGTTTATCCCAACATTCATGTTTTACTCTTAGCTGCTGCTTTATTCTTATTGACCATGATCACTAGTGAGACAGTTCTTGTTATGAATGTTGTGCCTTTAATCTTCTTGTGCATGCACAAAATTCATTAAATCCATTCAACCTTTATTTATACAGGTTAGTCTAATTGAGTCACGTGGACTGATTTACAAGAGAGACTTGTTTTAAACAACAACAAAAAAAAAAACAAATGAGGTACACAAAATGATGATCATTCATATGAAAGCATATAAAATGAAAAGTATATAAAATAACTGATATAAAACAAAAAAAAACATGAAAAATTGATTTTAACACAACTAATGACAATCATAGAGTTGACCCATAAAGGTGCTAAATCACAAGCAGCATATAAACAGCCTTGTTAGAGTAAAAAACAAAACTGTTTTTTTTTATCATTGATGTACGCTGCAGTGCATCTAGATCAAAACCCCTTCAGTTGTGCAAATTTGTGACAGCAGATTTGTTTGAAGTCAAATCACTGCCTACTGTAGCTGTTATTCATTAGGCTGTTTGGCTTGGAGCTCTGCCCAGTTCATTCAGATTTTGATTCACAGCATGACAAAACACTTCCTTGTAAATAAAGACACTGCAGGCTTGTGGTAATTAGGACGCTAACTTCTGTCCCTGTTCACACTAGTGAACACATTAACCCACCACTGCTTCACCAACATGTCGGACCAGTCCCACTAATGCCTAAACTTTTAGATGCATCCGTGTTCATATTTTGCCAAAGTGTTTATGCAGACATCTTGATGCTCAGTGTCTCACAATGCAGACACTTGTTTTGTCTTGATGCACATCACTGTTGTTCTCTTCGTGGGAAATAATGATTTTTTTTTTTTTTTTGTCGAATATGAATTTAGGTCAAAGTTCGTGGCAGCTTTTTGTCTGCATCAGTGTTTTCTACCCCAATTTCTTGGTGTCTTGCGTGCAAGAGGCCAAAGTACCTTAGTTGTCACGCTGACAGTAGCGTGCGACTGTGCCTCTCTGTCTCCTGTTAGCGTGAGAGCGGTACATGATTGGAGTTGAAGGCCAGGTTTTTCCAGTTTTTCTTTTTTTTTTTTAACCCTTGGTTCTTTTTTTTTTGTTTGCATTTACATTTATGTAAACTTTATTAAGTGCCGCTCAGTTGGCCATTGCATGTTATGCAAGTCAGCTGGTTTGTTTTCTGCAGGTACTCATCACTAACCATGAGAGAATAAAGTTTGCAATCAGAATTACTTACAACTTTTAAGACAGAGTTTAAATTAATTAAATGAAGGGACGTGCTTTTTATGAATGTGAGGCTGTTTCTATGTGAAACTATTTCCTTAGTGTAATTTGGCAGCTTTTTCAGAGATAGTTAAAATGTGAGCACCAAGTTAGTAATCTGTTCTTTAAACTGGTAGTTGTATTCTCTGTTAGTGAGGATTAAGGTTAGAAATGCATAAATGTTACTCAAAAATTTAAAAAAAATTTAAATTAATGAGAAATAAAACGTAAAATTAAATAGATTTCCAACTTCCTGATTTTGTATGTTGCATATTTTCTTTTTATTGTGTTTTTATTGAGTTTAACATTTATTACAAATGTGAAGTCACTAATTACACCGCTGAAGGGCTCAGGTAAAATCAATTACCAAAAGTCTGCAGGCGTCACTGTGTTACTGACGTCGTCCCAGTTTCATTGCAGATGACTGTGCCGACATTTTTTGCAGTCATTAGAAACAATGGGAATGCAACAGTATCAAAAACCAGGTTTTAGTCTAGGATTGACAAATATATATATATATATATATATATATATATATATATATGTATTTTTGTATTTTTTTTTGGCTAATAGGAGAAAAAAATGTGATGTTTTGTGTAAAATGTGCCAGCATCAATGTCAGGGTTCACAGAAACCAGCAAGACAGAGACAGAAGATTAGCAAAAAAAACCCCAAGATTTTTCTATTTATTTACAAAAATCTAAATTGCTTTCACTTTGGGCTCAACTTTTAACTCAGGTACCAACACAAGCATTAACGGACCCAATGACTGAGACAAGAGGGGAACTTACTGTATATAGTGGCTGATCAGGCCATTCTGACACTATGGAAGAAAAATATTTATAATATCAACGTTTTATTCTGTCAAAGACATAAAAATCAAACTACAACGCTCAACTTTTCTCTTTACTGAACCCAGTTAGGCTGTGATTTGTTGGGCTCTCTCCAGTGATGTCTCCAAAGAAACTGGTAACTCGGGGGGGGGGGGGGGGAATAAAAAGAACAGAAATAAAAACAAAAAGTTAAACCATTACAAATAAAAAAATCCAATATAGCAAGATTTTAAAAAGAAGGATGACTAGTGTGTGCACTCTAGAACCACAGAATCAAAAGTTGCTAAAATCTGCAAATAAGCTTAATAAAGCTGTAAATGCCCAGTTATTTAACTTCAATTATTTGAACTAGTGTCTGTTTAAAGTCAAGTAACAATACATAAAAAATATTACAAACGTTACAACCACAACCTTTGGTTTTGGCTGCAGAGGCTGCTGTTACATTGACCAAAGTTAAACAAGTTTTTAGTGAAGACATATCTGTTTAAAAACACACTGGATTTTATTTGTGTTAATTTTAAGGAATTGATACATATAGGTCAAAACTAATTTTTCTCAGTACTCAATTTTCAAATTAAAGTAATTTTCCTATACAGCACATTAGTGAAGTTAACATTTGTTTTTGTTTTTTTTCACACAACTCCCTGTTTTTTATTTTAATTATTATTATTATTATTATTTTTTTTTAAGAGTAGTCAGCAACTCTTTTTGTTATAATTTTTTTTCTGCCTGCAGGTTCATCCAACAGCACAGGAGTGATGATCCCCTCACAAAAGAGGAACTGTGTGAGAAATGGAGGCGCCGGAGGGTCAGTGAGGTCAAAAGATGACGAGTGCTTTGGTGACAGAACAAACAAGGACCTGGACACGGACTTTGACTTTGAGGGAAACTTGGCTCTGTTCGACAAGGCTGCCATTTTCTCCCAGATTGATGGAAGCAGTGGTCACAAGGCGCTGCATCACAGCGCTCCGGCTGAGCAGAAACCACAGTCCTATCGCCACGATGAAAATATTCTGGAGGGGAAACCTGTCAAATACAAACAGATAACTGTACCGCAGCATGGGGGAAAATATTACTGCACTGGTAAGAAAAAATGTTTTCTTGAAACTGGAATATTTCCAACGTTCAGACAGTCCTACTAGTATACTGTACCTTCCCTCTACTTCACCTCATCTCAACTTGTGCATCATTCATGAGTTGTAGGAGCATCAAAGGAGTGTTTAATACAGATCCAGCCATCTTTGTTATAATAGAAACAAACCATTGATGCAAATCAAATTGACTAAATTTAAGACATGACGCATCAAAACCTTCTCTTGTAAAATCCATAAATCACCTCAGTGTTATATTTTGAGTGAAGTCTGTTTTCCAGCTGCACATCCAGCTGTGTCTGTACTCTCCCACTACCTTCCACCTCCTACCACTGTGGAAATATTTGTCCACAGTCATTTTTGTTGTGTTTGTTGTGTTGTGTCAGTCAAGATGAGTTGATAGTCCCCACACCTCCCTGCCACAAAGTTGTCCACCAGTTCTTCATTCTAATCCATTTGGGCGACTGTGGCTAAATGGTTAGAGCAGTCGTCCTCTAATGCAAGAGTTGGGGGTTCGATTCCACCCGCAGTCACGTGCCGAAGTGTCCCTGGGCAAGACACTGAACCCCTCATTGCCTCCGATGTGTGTCCCATCAATGTATGACTGTGATAAAGCACTGCTTAGTCTTTATATTAATATAGTAGAGTGCTGTAAGAATTGGAAAATTAGGACACAGATTGTAGTGTAAAGTGCTTTAAGTATCTTGGTAAGATAGAAAGGTGTTATATAAGTACAGTCCATTTACCATTTGTCCACCATTGACCTACTCTACAATTACTAAGTCATCCTAGTATTTTTGCAGGGAATATGGCTGCAGTTTATGAAATGCTTCAGTCTTCGTGAGGTATTTAATTATCCAAATGGTTGTGAATGTTGTGAATGTTGTGTATTTTGGCGCTTCGTTGCAGTTGTGTTAAATTCACAGGAAAAATCAACGGTCATGATCCTCACAGTGCTTTCAGTTGTGTCTAAGACAAACTGCAGTGCCTAGAAAAATACTTAAGGCAAGTCAATACCAGTCTACCCAGGACTTACATGATGTGACTCGTTAAGACGAATGGTCTTTAGTTGTTAAGTGCAGTTGTTTTTTTTTATAGATAACTGGCAAAATGCAGGACATCTTTCACAGCACTGAGACTCTGTCCTGACTCCTGACTCAGTCTAAGGTTAAAGAAGTAAAATCTGTGTTTGATTACCGGTAGTATATCTTTTTTATTAGGTCAGGTAGGCCACTGGTGATGCAGGGCTTGTTTAGGGACTTCAAAGTCCAGTGGCGATGTCAGTGTCCATACAGAAGACAGGTAATTCATCACACACATTATCTTGGCATTCATGTTATCTATATCTGTCTCACACAGTCCATCTCAATCTGTTGCCCTTCAGAACTTGTTTCCTTGTGATTGTTTCTGAACAGTGGGTTTGTAGTTAGTGATGAGAAGTACCAGATTATAATCTGCTCATCCTAGAATAAGAAGGGAAGATGAACTTTGTGCTCCGTTAATTTTTAAATAAAATAATTCTTTTTTTTTCTAGAGAACTAGTTGACAAACTTTAATAGCTGAAAAAAGCAAGAGGATTACAATCAAGAGATTGCTGTAAAAGCATTGTATGCCTGGTTATTGTTTACACTGGATTTCCCACAATCCCTTGTGGTATGAGCTAACAGAAATGATGACCTTGTCCTTTGTTCCATTGGCTAAATCAAGGATTGTTACATAAAAAGTTAAAACAGATATAGGGGGAGTAAAAGTGACAGAAACATAGATCCTGGAGTCCAGGATGTGAGAAAGGTCACTTTATATTTGTATGAATTCACTCTGCAGGAATTGGAGTCGTAAATGGTTGGTGGTTGAACGACTACATAATTTTTAAACTCGACATTAACATAATAAAACTCGAGTAGAACTCGAGTAGTTGATGACGTCATAGGATCTCAAGATGAAAAAATTAATTAAAAAAAATAAAACCGCAAAAAAACGTAATTTATTATTTACAAAAAAAAAGACCAACAAAACATTGGGAGAGTATATTATGCTCCTACCATTTATCATACTACAAATAAGTCACAGAAAAACCAAAACTATTAGTTATTATTATTATTAAGCTGCAAAAGTGAAAGAAATAACGTACAGCACGTCAAAAACGAAACTAAAAACAGTGGGGCGGTCGAACACCCTGCACCACCGCCAGCTGTGTTGCACATTAGGTTTAGTTTTAGAGATGAATATTTTTTCTTTTAGTTTGTGAAACAAGGTCAGAAGGAGGCTGGTTTTGGTTCGTCGACTGGACCCGGTGTTACACCATATTCTGTGACCTGCAACAGGGCATGCAACACCGCCCCCTACGGTCACAATATACGGTGGTCACAGAATATGGTATAACACCGGTTCGCAAGGAGCTCCAAACAGTCAGGAAGTTGATTCATTTTCTGTTTCCTTAAGGTATTGAACTGGAAGATTCATCTTTAGTGAAATATTTCCATATTACTGATGCATTTCTACCTGTTTGCCAAGACTGGGCCTGCTCCGCTCAGTCCATCTGCTGGGAGGAATCCATTAGGTAGCTTCTACTAGTAGCCCGGTGCGGATCACGTGACACAATGACGTCACTGCTTATACTCGATGTGAAATTTAAAAACTCGATAGATGTCCTAGGAATCGATCTATCGATTACTCGAGTAGTCTGTTAAAGCCCTAGTTGGTGGTAATGGATGAAAGGCTGTGGTTACATCTGTTTGTGTAAATGTTACATCACCACCAGCAAGCACAAAATTATTTTTTGTCAATATTAACTATTTAACGAAACTGACTTTTTGTTCGCTGACTGTGTTGAAATGATTTGGGAACCAACCTAGAATAGATTAAACACGACATTTTTTGATTAGCTATTAATTTTCTTGCACAGTTGTATGTATGTGTGGACACTTGTAATCAAAATGATTGATTTTGAGACCCGCTTAGTTAACGACTGACTAACTTGTTTCCAAGTCCAAGTTTTAAGTATAAATCTGACAACTATTTATGAAAGCAAGCTGGAGTTTTTATTTTTTTAAGAGTAGATCCAATATTTCATTCACATCAGTCGTCTGTTGTTAGTGCAAAAATATATATTTTTAACTCTTGGCGTTTTTCTTTGGTAATTTTCACAGACCAAACAAAAAATAGGCTTTGATCTGCACCGGTGTATGTTAACACACTAAGTCAACGTCACAGAATCATCTGTGTGATAGTAGCTGATTAGTGTGCGCTGCAGAAATACATCCCAGTTCAGCTCTGTGATCACCTCAGAGTCGTATCAACAGTGGGTCTACTTTGACCTCGTTCTGTTTCTGCACCTTGTTACAAATATTTGAATTTACGACAAATCAGGCCCATCTCAAATGTTTTGTCTTTAAAGTACTAAAACGTCCCTTTGTACATACAAAGACACATTTAGACCTAACGGTTTAAAGGGGTTTCATGGCTCTGTGTGGGGCCTGGAGAGCACCTTGAATGACTTTTTTTGGTCGTTTTCTTACTTTACAGATAGTAAATGCGAAAGAAACACGCCTGGTGGTAAACTAGTACAACTCAAATCTTAGTTCCACTGTCACGTTTAGGCTAAAAATAATAATAATCATTATGATTTTGTTTAGGGTTTGCAAGCTTATATATGCTACTCTTCTTTATGTCTATCATCTGTTTTACGGTGAACTATGACCTCTGGTAATGCATCTGTACAACCAATCAGTGTTTTGTTGCATGAACTCGTCACCTCACAGTTACATCACAGATGGTGTTGGGAAAAGTATAACTTGAGCTAGGGGCTACAAAAGACCCTATCAAATGTGTTTTATAAACTGCAATCAGCAGCAGTTCCTGCGATGCAGACAAAAGAAACATCCTCCAGTAGAGAGAAAAACTATGGTTCCTGATACTAGAATCATTAGGGGTGCACCGATTGCAGTTTTCTGGCTGATCATCGATTTCTAAAAAGTCTGACCTGCTGATTCTGATTTTGGCAGATACCGATTTTGTTTTATAAGCGACACTGTCAAGATTGCAATGCACCTTCAATTTTCCAATATTATTTTATTGAAAAACATTCCCTTGAACAATATCCTAGAAACAATACAAACTTGTGTTAACTGGCCATGAGGTAGTGCTCTTGAAATATAAAGGAAGTTCAGAACATTGTTGTTAAAACAAACAAAAAAAAAGGTCAAATCGGTCTCTCATGCAAGTATCGGACCATTTCCGATTTCTCTAAATTAAGGAAATCGTATCGGTGCACCCCGAAAAGTCAGTTCTAGGTTCAACCTGTTCAAAAAGACTTTGAGGAAAATTGACGGTGGTACAGTTGGTAGAGCTGTCGCCTCTCAACAAGCAAGTCACCCCAGTTCAAATCCTGGCTGGGGGTCTTTCTGGGTGGAGTTTGCATGTTCTCTCCATGCATGCATGGGTTTTCCCCGGGTACTCCGGTTTCCTCCCACAGACCAAAAACATGCATGTTAGGCTGATTGGTAACTCTAAATTGTCCCTAAGTGTGAGTGAGAGAGTGAACGGTTATTGGTCTCGTTTGTCTCTATGTGGTCCTGTGATGGACTGGAGACCTGTACTGGGGTGTCCTCCACCTCTCGCACAGTGATAGCTGGACATGGACACCAGTGAACCCCCATGACCCAAAAAAGAAAAAGCTGGTAAAACGGGCGGACGGGTGGGTGGCTGGATGGATGCATGGAAGATATGTTTTAGTATTCTACTGAGTATCAAAGTATCTTTGCTGCTTTCCGTCTGCAATGTTCAACATTAGAAATGAGAAAATCAACTTCTGAACAAGAATGTTATGAATAGATTGTTAGCAAGTATAAAATAATGAAGTTTAAATATATCTGTTTTATTGATATAACCAGAGGTAAAGTCAAAGTTTCTTTATTGTCATATGCACCACATGTGGTGGAAGGAAATTGTGTACACAGGGTCCCATTTACATCCAACAAAAGTATAAGTTGT